GGTCTGGATGGCCTCGATTGTCTGGCTGAAAAAATGACTGCTTTAACCTTAGTGATCAGGTCTAGGGAGAGGGAACCTTGAATGGGCCACCCGACTCCAAAGGTGGGCCACTCTGCAGAACAAAAGGTGTCGAACTTACCTTTCTTGATGACCAGACCCGCATTTAAGGCCCTTTCTTTAACTTCTGGAAAGTGAGAAAGGATCAGAGACTTTGGGTTGTTTGTCCCTGTCCCATTGTGGAAGGAGACTCAAACACCAAGAGAGATAGAACAAAAAGGGTAAAGGCAACAATAATTCCACACACACACAACACTCTCCAGCACTCGCTCGGACCGGTCCTTCTCTCACACTGGTGCGCACCCCATTCAACCTCCTCACCGTCCAACTGGGATATCAGGCCGAAAGGCGTCCACTTGATGGGTGGTCGGTCGACTAGCTCAATTAGTTCTTCACCTGGCGCCAGGGTTCCTAAAATGCTCGAGCCCAAATGAGAGGAAAGCCTCTCCCAATAGGACCCTGTGGTCCTCCTTGAGAGATTCCCAGAATGAATCTTCCTGGGGATTGGCCGAATCCCCGCCGCGGCCCAAATGGAACACTCAAGTTCCTCCAAATGAGGGTCTGGGATCCCCTCCCAACGCCTAGGACTTGGGATCGCCCCTGCTTTCTCGCAGGCAGGTTCTGTCTCTCGAGAAAATAAAATCTCGGTGGGACCTCCAAATGTTCGGACCCGGAATCCTATTCCCCCGAGAGACAGAGAGCCAGGCGTGAATGCAATCAACAAAGCAGAGTTTATTGGGCTGGCTAGCCAGGGTCGAGCTCCCACACGGACACGCAGGACCGGTTAGGAAAACACGACCCTGAGCCTCTTTAGGGGAAATCTTATATAGACCGCAGTGACGTGCATATTTTCGTTATCAACATTGGGCAAGCAGGCAGAGCACATCTTGCGCGTACCTCACATCTTGCACGTACTTCACATCTTGCATGTACCCCCCGCTCACATTCCCCACATTCTATATGCCCTAACTGAGCCCTGCCGCATTGCTTATCTTATCTACATGGGATGTTTGGTACTGGTTTCTCCAACAAGGGGGTTGGGGCCCGCTGAGACCTCCTATTCCTTTCACCTGTCTTGGGTAGGATCATTAAAAATAAAAAATTAAAAATATTTGTTATTTTGACATGGTGAACACTCACTTTTGGCACAATTTTCCATAAAGAGTGATTTTCCAGATATGGACAGGAATCAGAGAAAAGAATTCTGTTGAATGATGATAGATCAGGATGGCAGGGTGGTGAAGTATGGGGCAGTGGATTTCAACTGGTGTTCTGTGCCTGCCTCTACAAGAGGCACTGTGATTTGTGGGTAGAAGGGACGGAGTCAGAGGTAAGTGTAGGGAATCCCCAGGTTTCTGCTCCTTTCCAGTGTGTTAGGGTCAGCTCTGGTCCCAGGATGGGTACATTCACCTGAGCAAATTAAATAACAGAGAGGGAGAGAAAAAGTATCAAGAATGGAAACTGTGCAGTGATACTTCTATTCAATGAGCATAATCAAGACTGTACCTCACATGGGAGACCATCTTGTCACACAGGTAATGCCTTGGTGAGTTTTGTTTTTGAGGTAGATATTACATAATTTTATTTTATTATTAGCATACACTAATAGCACATGGGGATTTCATTGTGAAATTCTGTAGATATGTACAGTGTACCTTGAACAAGTTCACCTCCTCTATTGCTTTGGTGTTTTGAGATATGAATTTTGTTTTGCACAGCTGCATTATGCAAGTCAGTCTTCTCACCTGGTACTGAACTAATTTCTGTTCCATACACTGAGGTGTTTTTTTCAAGCTTTTATTTTGGAATAATTTTATACTTTAAAAAAACTCCAAAATAGTATGTAGGTTTCCTCTATTCGCTTCATCCAACTTCCCCTCATGTTAACACCTTACTTAACCAAAGTACTTATTGACACTAAGAAAGATAAAATGCTATTTATTGATGGGTAGACCTTATTTGAATTTCATTAATTGTCCCACCAAGAAAGAGAAAACCACCCATGACAGATGGAACTGGCTTGGCATTTTCAGCTAGACTCCACCCTCAGTGTTGCTCACAGCTGGCCTGGCCCACACAGCTCAGCCTTCATCCTTCTCCTTGAAAGTAAACAATTTCTCAGAATGCCAACATCAAACAGGGCCACTCTGTGTCCACAATGAATCAAGACAAAACAAGGCCACTTTGTACTCATGTCAGAACACAAACAACATGAACGTTGTTCAAACAAAATGACCAAACATTCCCCTATCCTGAGTAATAGGAGAATATGAGTGACTGCTCCTGCTCTGCTAATTCGTAGCTTTAGCCACACTTCATTCCTCCTGGCCTATAGTTAAGATTTATTGAGATATGCAATCATAGAATTACCCTCACTTCTTCACAGCATCCAAGTCGAGCATTACAAGTGAGCAGATACATAAGTGGTTTCTCATATCCCTTTCTTTCCTATATGAAAGACTTGTAACTATCCTTTTTTGCTTTGCTTCTTTCCCACTTAGCACTTTATCCTATGAATTGCTCCTATTGCTTCAGAGTCCTTCCTTATTCATTTGTATAGCTATGTGGCACTCCATGGTGTGAATGGACCTCTCTCCCATATACTAGCCTTTAGGGTGTTCCTCCTATTTTGCAATTACAGTGAATAACTATGTTTATCCATTGCAAATGATTTGCTTCCTTATTACTCAGTTGCAACGAATACCACTGCTGCGAAGAATAACTTTGATGAACTGACTTTTGTGAGAGGGATTAGTGCAGAATCCAAAGGTGGACATATCTACTTCAGAGCCAGTTCTTCCTCTGAGATGCCACACCAGCTCTAGGGTCACAATCCAGGCCTGAAGTTATTCCCTGGGCACTCAAGAGGGACCTGGGTGTTCCTGTCTCTTTATCTGTCTCTTCAAAGAGCTGTAATGGGTGGTCCTCTTGCGCAGGTTACCTTTGTTAGTCAGTTCCTCTAAATTGCCTTCTTGGAGGGCATTATATTTGCAAATGAAAGGACCCCGTGACTGTGTATTGGCCCTTCCACATGGCTTGAAACTTCCTTTAATGCCATAAAGAGCTGCAGACAGAGTAGAGAGTATCCTTATGTGCATCTGAGCTCACCTGTGCTGATATGTGTGGGCAACAGGTCCAAAGTGTGTGTGTGTGTGTGTGTGTGTGTGTGTGTGTGTGTGTGTAGCCACATCACCATGAACCAGCAGTGAGACTGGGGCTCTGAATGGACTAGGTTGTGTTCCTCATTTTTCTTCACATACTGAGCACACATGGACTTGTTCAGGCTCCCAATACCACCTGCTTGAAGGGGATTTTCTTCTGAGCCTGATGGAGGGTCACACTGGAAGATGTGTATAGTGGCTGTTCAACTGCCATTCATGATTGACTCAGAGTCTGGAGGGCGGAAGAAAGAAAATTGGTTCCAGACTGTCTAGCAGCCTGAGGCATTTTAGTGGCTCCTCTGAGTAGAGACTTGGGGCAGGGATCAGGTTCCCTTCTAAGATGTTGCTGTGCTCATCTTGGCTGTGTGAGGAAGCTTTTCTGCTAGGAGACCCTCTGCTCTTTTCTACATTTGTCTTCAAATATAGAATGTCCAGGCTCTTGAGAGGCATCATGTCATTTAAACAGGACAATATTCCTGCAAGAATAAATATTTTTCTCCTAACTTTATGGATGTGGAAAGTGAGATTCAGAAAGGTTAAGTAATGTGCCAAAGCTTACACAGCCATCAAAACAGTCATGATTTGATATCAGGTATGTCTGATTTCAGAGCTCTAGATTTTTCCAAAAAGAACACAAATCTAACAAAATATTTTTTAATTCTAGAGGAAATGCTCAGGTGCATGGAATCACTTAAAGGCAGAAGTCAGATACTACAGGGGAGGACTGGGGAGGCAGGAGACTTGAAACTTGTCACTTTGAGCAAATCACTGAAACTAGTATCCCCTGAAAAAGAAGACTTGCTCACTGGGCTGTGGTTTGACCCCCCTAGTAACTGCAGCTGGTGGAGTCTGTTCTCATAGGCCTTTGCATGGTGGTTGTTAAATATTTTATATTTCACTCCTGGTCCCACACCTGCTCCCTTGGGTGTGGAGGTCAAATGAATCCCCAGCAGATGCCAAGAACACTCCTTGCCAAGTGTCAGGAGAATTCGTCTCTGCAAAACACAGGACCAGCTATGTGGGCCTGCATCCTGTGCAGGTGTAGAGGGCCTTGGCTTAGCTTCATGCTCTGCTGTCTCACCTTGCAATTCTTAGTAATTTTGGAATAGAGGACCTTGCATTTTCCTTTTGCTCAAGGCACTGCAAACTCAGAAAAATACTTTAATTCCAGGGAGCAGAGAACAAACGACAATAATTTATTCTGGCTGAAGTCACTTGAGTGTTGACTCACCTATCCCCTGGCTGTTGAGGGGAAGTGGCTCTGTTCTATGTGTGACCAGTATGGTATAGGAACAGCACTGAGGGAAAAGGGCCAAAGAATGCAGTTATTGCACTCAGCAAGAACATTTTCCTAACATCTGTTCTGTGCCCAGCCCTGTGCTCCTATGGGGAATGGAAAGTGCCTCACTTTATCACCATGCTCCTAGCTAGATAGGAAGATGGGACACAGTTCTTTCTGGGATACCCTTGGGATCAGCCTCAAATGGGCCATTGACTTGTGGTCCAGAAGTTCAGAGACAAAGTTCAGAAAGGGATCTCTGAGGGCTGGCTTTCCAGGAAAAGTTCAGGGTCAATGTTGGACTCCAGCAGCATCTTCAATGATGCAGGGAGGTATGTAAGTGGAGGAAGGAAACCGTTAACCCTAGATATGGATACGTCTTCCACTTCAATAGTCTAGAGTTGAGTTTGTAGTTTGGGTTCTCTATGTTAAGATGGAATTTGGGGTGTATATTAGTTTCATGTGGGTGGTGCAATAAATTATTAAATAGTAAGTGGCTCAAAACAACACAAATTTATTCTCTCACAGTTCTGGAGACCAAAAATTTGAAGTCAAGTTCACTGGGTTGAAATCAAGATGTCATCAAGGCCACAGTCCTCTGGAGGCACTGGAGAATCTGTTTCTTGCCTCTTCCAGCTTCTGGTGGCTGCTGGAGTTCCTTGGCTTGTGACTGACCACCCCAATCCTGACCTCTGTCTTCACATCGCTGCCTCTTCTTCTGTCTCTCTCTTATAAGCTAATGGGCTGGCATTTAGGATCTACATGGATAATCCAGGATAATTTCCTCTCAAAATCTTTAACCACATCTTTTGCCATATGAGGTAATTGTCATAGGTTCTGGAAACTAGGATGTGGACATATCTTTCTGGGGGGCCACCATTCAGCACACTTTAGGGTACAAGATGTTTAATAAAGATCAATACTTGTTAAAGGAATGCAGTGAAAGCAGAAAGAAGGAAATTAGACTGTGATACAGGCCTAGCAGAGTCTTGACAAACTTGATAGAAAGTTCTGAAATGAGGAATTGCCTGTCAGAGTTGTAGTTTAGTGAGCCAAACTGGCTAGGCCATCACACCTCACCAAGCCTAGTCACTAGGAAGGGTATAACCTCAAGTGAAGCCACAGAGTGGCTGAGGCAGAGCCTGAAAGGGTTGACAGCTGAAGCTGTCTGCCAACCACATTCCCATGCTGGGGAAAGAGTTGTCCCTTGAAGAGGGATTTGGAAAGCTCTGTTCTATATCCAGCACAGGGAGACAGTAGCTGAGACAATCAGCAGATGGCAGAAGTTGACGAGGATGTCCCCTGAAGGCAGAACCCAAGTAGGGTCTGTGATGTTCACCCATGTTGACAATAACAACTCATCTGCTCTGTCCTGAAAGTGTATCCGAAAAGGGACTCTATGACCTCCTGAACTTGTGAAAAGACCCCAGCTTGGGAGCCATTTCTAGGCTATTCCAAAGCATATGTAGGCCCTGCCTAACATCTATCTGCCCTGCCTTCATCAGCTCCTGGCCAGCACTGTGGATGTGAACACAGCTGTACAAATACACAGTTTGATTGTAATTTATACTAAAAGCAAATCTCCCAACAGCCCCCTGGGCATGCTCAAGTGGTTTTATTCTTTGCTCTCTCTTGGGACTTCATCAAATGAGGCACAAGATCTCTTTGTCCTGATTCAGGTCTGGAACTGCATTTCCTGCCTAGACTCAGAAGCTCCAGGGGTTACATGATGGTTTTGAAGGAACATTCTTCAGAGTCTCAGGCCACTGGTCTGAGGTGTGGAGAGCTATGCAGGTGGGCCACATGTTGTAGAGGAGTAAGAAAGCCTCAAGAAGAGGCCATTTCTGGACTCCTTGAGGACTTTGCTCAAAGTCACTCATCATGTGGAAGCATTTTTGCAGTGGAAAAAACACCTGGGCCTAGAGATATGGGTTGGGCCTGGCTCACGGATCAGAAGTTCTCTGTGGAACTTTGGAGGGTCTGGAGGCTACAGCTCCTTTCCTGGATTCTGGTCAGGAGGCTGGCTAAGGAGGACATGCTATAGTTAGGACAGCAGAGATGAGAAACTGTGCCTGTGCAGAGGGAAGGGTGGTCAGACTTTACCCTCTAGGGCCAGTGAGAAGGAAGCAGTTTCAAAAGTTTCTCAGGCAGCCCAAGCCTGCTCTTCTACTAGCTTGGCCTGTCATCCTCACTGTCATGGAGGATGGGACATTGGACAATGTCTGGAGCAGTCAAAAGGTAAACTCAAAAGGCAACCTAATATATTCTTTGGGTCCATCTCTAAATTTGAGGGAAAGGACTAGAGTTGGATAGCACAGGATGAGAGCCAGAGGCTGATGGGGAAAGCAAGAGGAACATGGACAGACAGTGGGAGCTCTGAAACTGTACTTGCAAATCACTCTTCCTCGCTGGCCTTCAGTTTCCCCATCTGCATAGTAAGGCCTATTAAGCTAGGCATTCTGACCTTCAAGGTGCTGATTCAGAGGTAGAAGAGAGAAGGTAGACTGAAAAGTCCCTAGGGGTAGAAGACTGGCAGGCAGGCTGGGCAAAGGTCTAGTAGGTCCCACTACTATTCAATGGGCTAGGACAAGAGCACACCCGGAACTCCATATCCCACATGGCTAAGTACTTCATTTAAAAGGTATAAAACAAACTAATTGTTGAGTAAAATATGTTCTGTTAGTTAACCTTGAGAAATCTTTTTCCTTCTTTTTTGGTGGTACTGTGATTTGAACTCAGGGTCTCATGCTTGCTAGGCAAGCACTCTACCATTTGAGCCACTTTGCCAGCTCCCAAAACACTTTTTTAAAATAATGACCTGTAAGGCCAAGTTTGAATGAAATTCTTGGACTTTTAAAGAGTGTGCACTGGAGCACATGGTGTGGCAAGAGTGGGTCCTGGTTCTGAGCTGTAGCTACACTGAGAAGTTTCTCCCTACTCATAGACCTTCTGCTCTGACTTGGTGCCCCATATGCTGGGGTCTGAAATCCATCTTTGCAGCTGGGCTGAGGCCACACTTCCCACACCATGGTCTTGCCAATCACCAAGTACAGCAGGGATATTAGGAGGGGTACATTCGTGGGAGATAAAAGGGCTCCTTTGGTGGCTGACTTTGCCTCAAGGACATTCTGACAACCCTTCTTAGATTGCTGCCTCTTCTTCATTGGGGTTCCTCTAGACCTTTGCCTGCTCTCTCCTTCTTGCTAAAGGCATTTCCCCTAAGAAAATTATTGCCTGTGCAATCCTGTCTTGATACCTGCTTCTTAGAGGACCTGGAATAGTGCACTGGCCCCAGCTGACCTGCTTTCTCTTCTTACCCTTGGCTCCTTTGGATGCCATGAGGTGCCTACCGTGCTTGCACAGAGTCCCAGGCATCCAGACCATGACTCAGGAGTGGGCTGTGGTGGGCATGTCCCTTGGGCCTATAGTCTCCTCACCTAGTGGTAGTAGGTGGAGCACAGTAGGGTGTACAGGAGCAGAAGTGGGCCCCCTTGCTTGAATCTAAATTTCTAGTGACCCAGAGCCTCACCTTCACCTTGCCTCTCCTCCCCAGCCTCCTGACCTGAATGGCTTTTTTTCATTTGCTCAGCCTGTGTTTCTGGAACACACTTTGTAACCACCTGGGCTGCAGGTAGTGAGCATGTGACGCAGGCCCCTCACATTTCTGTTTTCCTTCACCCTTGTGAGTGTTCAGTGGAGAACAGAGGAAACTGAAGCTCAAAGATATGATATCGAGTGTGTCCACTTCCAGGTCTTGTGTTGCTCACCCCTGGACTCTGCCATGATGTCCCAGCCAGTGTCGGCAATCACACAGTGTCACACAACTTCTTTCCCTAGTTTGAGTGTTCCTCAGTTCTTGGGAAATGAATGTGTTTAGCTTAAAATGGAGCTGCTTGTTTCAACCTGGCAACAGCCCAGCTATGGGAATGGAGGGCCAAACGTGTTGGTGTTGTCCCCTCAGGTCAGCTAGGCTCCAGCCCTTCAGAACCTGTCATCATACTTGCAGTCTGGATAGCGGTAGGCAAATCTGGGGTCACAGGTTCTCAGCGGTCTCAAGATGTCCTTTAGCCGACTGGCAGCTCTGAGGACTTCTGGGTCTGGCTGGGTGCCCTGGCCACACTGGGCAAGAGCAGAGTCTATCTCCTCTTGCACTGGGGAGGGGAACTTTCTCTGAAGAAGTCGAGGCAACAACTGCTGACATACCAGCACCAGGCTCTGCTTCTCAGGGACAGTGTCACAGGAGGGCAACTGGGCTTGGCAGCCAGAAACCAGGCAGCTAAAAATGTCTTGATTCTCTCTTGTCCTGGAGGCTGCTTGGCTGCCTGGAAGAGAAATGAAAATTATCACACACCCTACAATCTGTTCTCCTTGGGGGAGGGCACCACTAATTAGAATTGCTGGGCGAAGTGATTTAGTCTCCTAGCATTTCCCTGTTACTAGGAGATTTAGGGGTCAGAACACAATTGGCCCCTTCTGAGGACACGAGAGGAACTCTCTGCTACAAAAGTCTAAGGCCTGAACATGGAAAACCCACTTTGTTCTACCAGAAGTTGGGCTTATAATTGTAGAGGTCATTTATGTATTGTCATTCTCCCACTAGTGCTGAATTAGGGAACTAAGGAAATTATTAGGACTGGTTTCATTTACCATTTTAGATTCAAAGTTAGAAGGAAAAAAAAAAGGTAATCCCGAATATGCACTCAGCAGATTGTAATGGGACTGATGTTCAATGATTTACATATCCTGAATATTCTGGAAGCAGCTTCATTCCTTCTAATTCAATTCTTCTTAATGCAGGAAAGCAGGAAACGAGTAAGTGTGGTTTAATTTCTCTACCTTTGTAGATTTCTTCATATAAGCAAAATCAGAAATGGGGAAAGAAAATACTTTTGCTATTATTGGGCTCAGAAGATTTGGTCACCATGAGAAATTGGGATGTTTAAAGGATTTTAAAACACTGGGTGAGCCTTTGCACGTAGAAACATGATTCACTCATATATCTCATTTGGTCCCATGCTTTATAAAAAGTTAATGTGCCAACATGGATTACAAAATATTCCAATGAATCAGCCAGACATTTAAGTTTTAAATAAAGGCTAAAAGCAGCTGAAAAGAAAGACTCTTAGAGGGAGATGAGCCCGTGAGTTGTGAGTGTGTGAGGAAGGCCAAGGATGTGCCTGGGCCACACAGATCCAATTATTGGGGCCATGCCACCATGGACAATGCCCCTGGTGGGCAATGTCAAGTCTACTTCCCCTCTGGAGCTGGCGTTGGAGAAGAAATTCAAATGGGGGCGAGGGACATTTTACATGACATCTAACATCCCCCAAATTTGGATTGCTCTCACTGTGGCACAGGGAGACTGGAAAGGCCCAACAGTGTAACCCTGGGTCACCCCTCCTTAGCTCCTTTAATCCTGATAACCCCTCTCCCACCCCCGACAGCTGCTAAGTCAGGCCCATGCTGGGTACCTTCCTGCTTGTCAATGACGCCCAGTGCGCTGGCATCCCGGATGAACAGATGCCCGTTGTTAAAGATGCCAAACATGTCTGCGTCAACATGGGTGAAGTAGAAGAAATAGTTCAAATCGTTGCTCCTCAGGGACTCCAAGACACCAAGGAGCTGGTAGGCGAGATCGGCTGTCTGGTCTGGGGGTGCACCGTAGAATTCCTGCAGCGGTCTGGTGCTGGTGCTGACGAGGAATCTGCCACAGGAGCCCAAGTACTTGGGCAGCGGCCATCCCTCCGCCCCAGGGAAGATCTGTCAAGCCGGAAGGAGCAGGCATTAGAGAATGAGAGAGAAAAATGTCATGGAGACATTTCTGTCTACTTCTCACTAAGAGCACACAGAAAAATCAGCCTTACGCCAGCATCCCTGGTCTCAAAACACATCAGCAAAGTGTCTCTTCATCTTTTTTATGCCTCTTTGATCTGGCGATAACCTAGCCCACCCCCACTTTTTATCTATTGTGGATGGAAAGATTCAGGAAGGAGGCGGCTCTCATTTCCCTGCAGTTCGTTGTTTCAAAAGTTTCTCCAGGCAGGGTACAAGAAGGCTGATGGGCCTGGTATCCGGGATTTGCGGGAATACGTTTATTTGAAGAGTTATATCATGGAGAAACTATGCCTAGTCTTTGAGATTTCACAGATATCGCTGCTTAGGAAGAGGTTATGGGAAAAAAATAATAGAGGGTCAACCTAAGGGTAACTGAAAGAAAAATATTTTTAAAAATAACACTGCAAGCAGGGTGTGGTGACTTGCCTGGAGTCTTAGCTACAGGCAGGAGGATGGCTTGAACACAGGAGTTTGAGGCCAGCCCCAGGCAGCACAGTGAGACCCTGTCTCATAAATAAATAAATAAATAAATAAATACAGTGCAGTGGGCTAGGCCAAAAAATCATGAATGTGGCCCTTGGGCAATTCAAGTTTTAGGAACCTCCACACTGGTCCTAACTTTCCTGGCAGCCCTGGATGAATCTGCCTAGCTGGGGTAGCTGCATACCCATAGATGCTCCTCAACTGTCTGGAACCTTCCAGACAGACTAACAGTGGTCTAGGGAAGCACAGCCCAATCTGTCTCCTGGTAAGAGCTCCCAACTTGTGGATCTGTGAAATGAAAATGGGGGAGGGAATCTGGGCTGGCCTTTTTTGACCACTTATTGAAGCAGGTGTATCTAGAATGGTGTTTCTTTAAACTATAGTGGGAACTAACAGTAACTATAAATACTCAGCACTTCTCCCCTTGTTTTCCTTTTGTTTTTTTTAAAGGCAACATCTTGCTATACATCTCAAGCTGCCAAGAACTCCCAATTCTCTTTATCCTAAGTGCTGGGATTACAGGTGTGTGCCACCAAACCAGGCTTGTTTTTCTTCTTAAAAAAAAACCAAAGTTGGGCTGGGGATCTAGCTCAATGGTACAGCGCTTGCCTGGCATGTGCAAGGCCCTGGGTTCCATCTCCAAGACTGCAAATAAAACAAAACGAACAAAAAGGCAAAATCATCCCCCCTCTCTGATAATTTTCTGTGGCCTTCCGCCCATTTTAAATCATGTTATGAAGAACTCATGCCCATTTGCTCTTTGAGTTTCTCCTGACTAGAGGGGCCTTTCTCACCATGTGCCTCTAAAGAGGTCCCAGGCAGGGCTACTGTCCTTGTCTAAATGTGCTGGGTCCTATGTCATGCCTTTTTTGGGCATATCCCAGGGTTGAATGTAGGGTCCAGGCCTCTCAGGAGCCAGATCTAGGGGGGAGAGGGATGTATCCAGAGTCTACTAGGCTGCCAACCAAGGTTAGGACCATGGGTAAAAGACCTCTGAATGTGCAGGACAACCAACACTTCCTTCTCCGCCTGTAGCATTTAAAATGCCAATGTTACCAGGCGGGTTTTAGCAGAAAGAATGTGGTCAACTATGTTACACAGTTCTGGGTTTGGGCTCCAGTGCTGACAGTGGCTAAGTGACTTTAGACAAGTCACTTCATCACTTAGAAAAGGGAACAATAATATTTTCAGGGGTTTGTTGTGAGCCTTAACTGACAAAATGATAGCAAACATTCCACACAGTACCTGGCATACAGAAGGTGCTCAATAAATGACAGTCATCATTATGCATTCAGCCATTATCCCTTTGGGCAATATTTATGAAATGTCTTTTCTGTGGCTCCTTTTGCTTCTACTTGAACCTTCTCTCTCTCCTCTTCTTTCTCTTCTCCTTCCCCTCTCTCTCTTCCATCCCACTGCTCCCTCTCTTATTCCTCTTCCTCCTTCTCCTCTCCTTCCTCCTCTTTGTACCCCTCTTCCTTTTCCTGCTCTTTCCTCCTACTTCCTGGTTTCCTGTGTATCTATTATGTAACCTCTATGTCCTGACCCTTGGGGTAAAGGGGATTGGGACCCACATGTTCGATGGATATTTGTTTACATGTTGAGTGTCTGTCTTTGCCATTGGATTGGAAGCAGCATGAAGGCAGAGGCCACCATACCTGTCTTTTTGACCATCGTATTTATTCACAGGTCCTGATGCATCCTTATTTATTTGACCATTCCCCTATTATGGGCATTTAGGTTACTTCCATTCTCCCCACTTCCAAACATAGCTGCAGGACACATCTCTGACACATCATTCTTTGGTTATTTCCCCACCTTCTTGCTCTTACTCAAATCTTACTGACCTTTGAGGCACAATCAAAGTTGTCCTCCTTCACAAAGCCCTTCCGGGGTGCCTCAACCAGTGAAGGTAGCTACTGTCCCCTCCTATCTATATTCCCAGCTTTGTGCTCCCAAACCTCTTTTATCCACAGCAGTAGCCACAGCACATTCACACTTCCAAAAGCATCAAATATTTGTCAAATGCCTTAAAGACATTAACACCGGTTGTTGCTCCAAGGCATGCAGTAAAGAAAGGGAGAGAACTGAACTCCAGGGCAGGCCCCTGGGAGTTCGAAGTGGTTCCCAACCTGGAAGGCTTGAGGGGCGACACTAAGTACCTGTAGGAGGATGGGGTGCGCATTGACAGCCAGGGTGTAGAGGAGACGCAGCTTATCACGGTCTGTGAAGTGGTCCATGAAGATGCTACCAGCGTCAGCCACCTCGGCATAGCGCCGGACCACGCGGTCCAGGAGTCGCTGTGAAGGGCAGCGCAGGAAGGGGCTGGGCAGGCCCTGTGGGTATGTGAGAGAGACAGCCCGGAGGGGGAAGTGGTACTGAGTGCTTGTAGATGGCAGGCTCCACTGGTGGAGGAGACCTTGAGGTTGGAGGCAGGAGTTGGGTGGGTGGTGGAGGAGAAACCCCCAGGGGGTGGGGGAGGGCGCTGAGCAGGAGGAAGAGGGGAGACCTTTGGGGGACAAGGTACCAGACACTCTTATAGGTGGGGCATGAGAATGCTGAGCAAGGTAGACAGAATGGGGATCTGGAGGGGCATGGAGGACAGAAGTAGAAGATAGAACATCTAGGAGAGCACAGTGTAATGGGAAGAGCCCAGGCTTTGGAGCTGACCACGTGCCATGGGAGTGTACTGCACAAAGGTGGCCCATTGGTGAATTCTGGAGACTGTTTGTGGAGGGTTGATGCAGAAGCCTCTTCAGGGACTATTTGAAAACATGATTGGCCTGACACAGTTGGGAGAAAGAGTCTGACACTCTGCAAGTTCTCAGTGTCAGACCCTATGCTAGGCCTTTCCCCAGGCATTATCTCAGCATGTGCAGAGCCTTAGTTCTCTCTTTTCCTGGTAACTATCCTGGAAATTTAAAAGGAATGATTGAAAAAATCCTTCAAAAATTTTGTGAAAGACATGCCATTAATTTGCACAGCCTGTGCTGGCAAGTGCCAGTGCTCCATTGCATCATCAAGTAATCTAGTAGAAACTCCTATCTTCCAGATGAGAATAAGGACTGGAAAGGGAAGGGGCTTGGTAAAAGCCATGCACTGCTCATTGGTGCCCAGGCTTGTTTCCATACCCAACCCCAGTAGGCAGAGAGAGATTTAATGGGCAGTGAGAGGGAGAGAGGGAAGAAAATAACTGATTTTTACAATGGACAATGTGTCCCAAACCTGACTGATAAGCAAAGCTTTCAGAGTGCTATAAAAATACAAAATCTTTGGGCCTTTGCCTAAAATTCTGTCTAGAGAGGTCCAGTGGGGGCCTAGGATTCTGAATTTTGACAGGTGTCCTGGGTCATTCTTGTTACTGGACGAATCTGAGGAACATGGACAGGAGCATGGAAGATGATGAGGAACTGGATGTGACTCAGCCTTCCTATGTTAGGAGCCTTGGAAGAAGTTCCTGGGCAGACATCTTCTTTATTTTGGAAACAAACATAGATGTTTGTGCATTCTTCATGGTAGAGTAAGGACACTTGGTGATGGCTTCTCCATCATTCTTCAGATAGCTGTGATCTTTCCCTGGATGATTTTCACTGATAAAAATTATCCTTTAAAAGGGAGTGTATACGCTTGCTTGGAGTGACTTTTGGTTGTTTTCAAAAGCAAATATTATTCAAAAGACAAAGATTTATCACAACTTATCTAGAAACCCAGACAGCCTTTAAAACCAACAAATGGCTAGCCATGGTGATACAGCTTATAGTCCCAGCTACTGGAGAGGCTGAGATGGAAGGATGGCTTGAGTCCAGGAGGTTAAGCCCAGCCTTGGCAGCACAGTGAGACCTTGTCGCTAAAATAAAAAAAAATTTAAGAACCAATACATGAATCTCTCAGGAGGAAATCATAGGTGCTTGGAGGAGAAGCAGGGATCCAGCGCTGCTTCTCACACAGTTTGAAGCTCTTTTTCAGACAGCAAGGGCAACTTCACAAAGAATCAGTTGTGCCAGATTGCCACTGGACAGGTATCGATGAGCCAAGGACTATGTACTCAGTGCATTTGGCTGTTAGCCCTGTGCTTACACTGGGTGGCAAGAACAAAGGGGAGCTGGAATCCTAAATGCTGCCCTTTCGGACTTCCTATGTTGAGTCAGAGTCAGGGAAAGATCGTAGGATTTCCCTGTTGGTCATTTTAGCAGAAAAGATGTCAGAAGTCACATTATACAACAGCCCATTTTACCATGATAGAACGACTGGAGAAATTGTTGGAATTCTGTACTATTGCCTGCATTGCTACATTTTTGGGACTTGAACACAAGCTTAGTTTACAAGGCTCACAGAACATGCATGCAAAAGGCTTGGCGTGGTGAGAGGCACATGCTCTGTATGTATCATTGTCACCGTCATGGTTATCAGTTTTGGCGGTGTCACTGCTGTGTTGTACATATACCTTCCATAAACAGCCATGGTACTCTCTGTGTCCTTTTAGCTGAAGCTCCCCTCCCACGGCTGCCTGCTTAGGGAAGCAGGATGCAGCCATCTTTGATGGATACAGGGTGCCTGGTGTAAAGGCTCTACCCAATAGGTCATTGGTGAAGAGTTAAGCCAATTATTCTAACTCCCTTTAGATTTGGAATACATTTGGGGGAAAGGGGGAAGAGTAGAACTATGGAAAGAGTATATAAGCCAAAGAGAGAGGAAGAGAGAGAGAGAGAGAAAGAGAGAGAGAGAGAGAGAG